TCGAGACTACCAGTAAATCAGTGTAATGAGGTGTGGGAAAATTCTACTATCAGTCCTTCATCACCTTACACGAAATAGGGTGAATACATCTCATTACATATCACATGAAGCCTCAACCACCAACCGGCCTTGCTTTCCCAACGGCTATGTGAAATTCAATGGAAACGTCAGCTCAACTTATATCATTGTGGGAAAATTCTATTACCAGTCCTAAATCACCTTAGACGAAATAGGGTGAATACATCTCATTACACTGATTTTCTGGTAGTCTCGAAACCCTACTTTCATACGAATATCTACAGGTAGTTTTGAAAACATATTTATAATGGAAAAATAAGTAATGTAGAAAATATCACTCTGCTTCATCGAAAATCACACAATAAAATGTGCTAGGGAAAAATGCCTTGCTTTGCCTTTCTTGCAATTGTCATCTGCCCTGTGACTCAAAGGCACTATTGGCAATGTGGCGTAGTTGCTAGTTTGTCGAGATTATACGTTGCACCGCCATGATTTGAGTTAGGCAGAGGTGATGATAAGACGAGGTCAAAACTGTAATCAACCCGTGCCTGGATGTGAATACTTTTTGGGACTGCAAAGCAGTGTGAAATTGAATGAAAATGTAAGGTCTATTCATATCATTGCTGGAAAATTCAATTATCAGTCCCCATATCCCTTTAGACATAATTAGGCAAATACACCTTAGATGGAATATGAAATTCAGATAGCCACATATAGAATTAAGGATTTTCAGGGTAGTTATAACATTTTTGCTTAGCAGTGTTTATCCAACTATTAACTTTAAAAGCTAGCAATCGAAAGACTTTGCAATCTTTTAAATGTCTTTGTACTTCTCATTTCCCCGTCTCTAACTTCGATATCTACCAATTGTTGTCATAGCTGGAACTCTTCTGTCTTTATCTGTTTGATCTCGGTCTGATCGAATTCCAGCTGATTGGAGTGCCAGCTGGCCTGAAATGTGCGGCAGCCATTTTCCTCGGTCGCATCCTCATGCTCTGTTTCGATACGCGGTCCGTCGCAGGAAGACTTCAGCAGGAAGAAAATGAAGGTCTCTCGGTCCTCGAACCCGGCAAGTTGTAGGCAGAAATGAAGGTTTAAGTCACACTAAGTACAAAGTGTACCACTTAGAGTTTAATGAAGAAAGTGAAAAAAATACTCAGTGATTTTTGGTGATACCATGATACCCCGTTAGTGGGCCAAAAGTATGCAATGCTGTGAGAGATGAAGCCTAACTGTTCTTGCACGCTATCTGCTAATGAGTATTACAAATGTATGAAATGGCATAAGGACGCAACAGTCACCTAAATTCATTTTATGAAATTCGTTTTTAGTTATTTAACAAAATATTTATAATTTACTTTCCCTTATTCTCAAACGTATACACAGAAACCTAATGCAAATAGTCTTTTGAGTCTAATGAGAAAATTTAATGTATTTTGGTAAAAAATGGCCAAAATATGAATTTTATCTCTTGACTAAGTGACGTATTGCCTGAGCCGGTATTCTATATGGATATTTGTGCCTAATACGCGTCGTGAATACCGCTGAAAGGCCAAGCTAAATAAGTTCTGAATGCATTCATAGACAATGAGCCCTATACTAAGCAGACCTTGGTTAAGAGGGAAAATTAGATTCGCAACCAGATAGCATCATTGGGCTAATGATACCGAAAAAAACGATTAGAGTAAGATTCGCCTTAATTGCAGAAGTTATTTGAAACTTATGATCTCTTTTCTATCAAAACATTTTCCTATAGCATAATTTCTATGGATATCTCAAATAATTTCCGCTTTTCTATGTATTCATTTTCCCCCGTGCACAATAAATAAGTTAACTCACTATTTCTTTCCACAAACTAGAATTATTTCATCGCTATTACGCTTTTAGCATAAGATATATTACAGTCTTGCTTAGATATGAGATTCTGTATATGAGGGATTGCTTTAATGCTTGGCAAGACAACAAGGAGTCTAAGAAGTCCTTCTTTTGAAGAAGGTAGAGAGAAAAACAAAGCCTTTCCTCAATTATGATTCCCTTAACGATTTATTCTAACGCGCCAAAAAAG